CGCTCGCGCCGCACCGCCTCCTCCTTCTCGCGCCGCCGCCGTGCCGCTTCCTGCTCCTGGCGCACCGAGGCCAGGTAGGCCTGCGAGGTATGGCCAGAGGTCACTGTCGGCAGCCCTGGGTTTACTGTTCCCTCCAGCCCAGATAGAGTAGCCCCACCACCCCTATCCTGATTCAGACATTCTCCCTCCGCGGGCCCTGCGGCTGCCTAACGGCTCACCTCCCTCTGCAGTTTCTTCATCTGCTCCAGGTAATCCTGGCGCTCCAGCCGACGGCGAGCCAGCTCCTTCCTTGCCAGGTACCGCTGAAAGGCACACTGGATGAGAGTGGCTGCTTGGTCCTCTACGCTTGGCCCTGGGGTGGGGAGAAGACTCACATGAACACCACTACTCCCCTCCAAGCTGTCATTCCTACAGCTGCCAGGCCTCAGCCATGCCAGGTGTGCCCCCAGCTCCAGGTTAACCTGGTGGTGGGCCCTGCACATACCCCAGACTGTTCTCAAAATCTATGAACCTCGAGCCAGAATAATCCACCAAAAGAGACCAAAGACAGAGGTTCTAGGGGTGGGAACTAAAGGAGGAGAAAGGACCTAGGTCTTGATATGAAGTTTTCCACCTCCCATGACCTTGGAAACCTCCACTAAGCCCCCATTCTGGAAGGACAGACGCTGAAAGAGTTGTTAGGAAAACAAACAGTAAAGGCTAATTCTTAGATGGACTTTGTATTAGTCATCTTTCCCATTAGAGACATAATCCCTAATGTCCACAATTTACAGGAGAATTTTAATATGGCTCATGGTCTCAGGGGATTCAGTCCATGGTTAACTGGCTCTAAGGCAGGAACATCATGGCAGAAGGGATGGGCAGAGCAAAGCTGCTTAGTTCATGGTAGCCAGGAGGCAGAGCAGGGGAACAGTGCCAGAGAGGAAGGGATGAGAGAACAAATATAATACCCAAGGTCACACCTCCATGGTCCACCCAGACAACCAGAGTGTGCTTTACTTATCTGCTAGGCATTTCTTAGTCCAATGAACTTGACATATCAGGATTAAAGGCCACAGTCTTGAAGTGAAAAATGCCAAATAAAACTCAGACTTATATTAAGGATTAAGAGAAGGAGACAGCACCACCCCAATTGTTAAAAGGTCTGAGCAGGTCAAAGTGGGATTTGATTGATTCTTTCACTGGACAAAATGGCATGACTCTCCCACAAAGCCTGATAAGCCTGTATACCCAGAATGAATGAGAGGAGTCTCCACAAAAATGAGGGTTATATCTGCTGGCAGATGAAACTGAAGAGAGTGACAGAGCCAAAAGTGGGCAGAGGAAGGAAAAACTTTCCATTGAGAGAAAGCCCGGGCACAGAAAAGTTGAGACAAAGGACCTTCTTGGGGGCACAGAAATAAATCCAGTTCCAGGGAAGAGGGACTACCCAGGACCAGGAGGAGACTAGAACCTTAAATGGATATGACTATGTGAACTTCCCTTTTCCAAAAGGGGGCATTCACTGCATCCCTGCCCACCACAGTCATTTTGAGAAACTGGGACCACAGTGTCTGTCAGACAGGTAGAGTAATTTAGCACATCATCCTCTTTATAGAAACAGAAGAAGCTCTTAACAAATATCAACCTTTTAAATTTTTTATTTATTTTTTGGTACTGGGGATCAAACTCAGGACCTTGCATTGCAAGGCAGGTGAGACACCACTGGGCTAAATCCCAGGCCCTACATTTTATTATTTTTAAAAATCTTCAGACACTAGGAATGAAAGGAACCTTCCTTAATCTAATAGAGGGTAGACACCAAAATCTTTGGCAAATGTGCCATATAATGGTGGGAAGTTAAAAGCATTATTTTTAGAATTAGTAATGAGACAAGAATACTCATTATTACTGTGCCCATTGTTAATGTATTATACCCATTTCTTTTAAACAACATTTTTCAGGTCCTAGCCAACATAATAAAAAGGATGGATGATGATGAGGAGGAGGGTGAGGAGGAAAAATAAGAAAACAAAGTTGTCTTTATTTGCAAATCATAGTTAAGCACACAAAAATCCAAAACAGCCATTTTGGTGCACACTTGCAATCCCAGCATTTGGGAGGCTGAGACAGGGTTACCTCAAATTTGAGGACAGCCTGGGCAACATAATGAGACCCTGCCTAAAATGGGGAGGGTCTGTTCATAAATTATTAAATTTAATAAGCAAGCCTAGGAAGTTTTCTGAATATAACCTAGTATACACAAATAAATTGTATAACTCTAAAGCAGCATTTTTTGTTTTTGTTTTCCAGCACTAGGGATTAAATCCTAGGTCAAAGGAAATGATCTGAGGGTGCTTCCCCTGGGCCCTGCTCCAGGCCAGAGGCTGGGACATCTGCATGGGGAGCCAACAGGTTCCTGGGCCTTGAGTTCCCCAGCCCTGGCTCAGGCCCCAGACATTTATGCTGCCAGGAGATGTCCTGGTTGCTCACTGTGCTCCATTCATCCCTTCCTTCCTTGTACGCTGGCCAGCCCTCGCAAAGGCAATGGAACAGGCACCTGGGAGTTCCCAGCAGGAGGCATCAGGGAACTTCCCAGGATGCCCTAGGCCTTGATTAGAATGGGTAGTGCAAGGCATGGTGAGCTGTGTTTCTTCTTGCAGTGGCTGTGCTAGCATATACCAGGTCACTGGGGCCTCAGAAACATCACTGACATCTTAGAGCCCTGAAGGCCATCTCTAGGTCCCCCCACCAACAGTGTCTGAGCTGAAGAGTGCCACAGCAGGGCTTAAGGACTGTCTTCCATGGAGGCCAAGGAAGGAAATGATGAAGTCTTGACAACAGGGTAGAGGAAATAAATCCATGTGCAGTGAATTTTGGCCAGGAGGAAGCAGGAGACAGGCACCACAGATGAAGCTCTCTCTGCCCTCACTGACCAGCCTTCTTCCCAGGGATGCCACACAGGACACCTGCAAAACATACCTGTCCTGCCTTGGCCTCTCCACCTCCTCCTCCCTCCCTTGCTGCATCCACATCAAGAACTGCCATTGAGGCCTTCAGGCAAAGAGGAAAGACAGTTCATGATGCCTTGTGCTGCGCCATTCTAATCAAGGCCTAGGACATCCTGGGAAGTTGCCTGATGCTTCCTGGTGGAAAGGCACAAAATCAAGCCTGATTTACAACTGTTATTTGTGACATGCTGGAACTTTTATCTTTGGTCAGGAGTGCCCTGAGCCATGAGGGAGCTTTGAGCCCTGCATTTTGTTGTCTACTTCTACTCAGAGATCTGAAGAGAAATGCATTAGCACCTGTGATGACTCATCTTGAACTTGATTGGCTTGAGAGATATCTAGCAGATTAGTAAAGCACACTTCAGGGTATGTCTGGATGGGCATGACCATGGGGACTCTATCTGATCTCTGCATAAAATGCAAAGGTTACAGAATAAAAGGTTGGTGGCTTTCTTTTTTTCTTTCTTTTTTTTTTTTTTTTTTTTTTTTTTTTGTACTGGGGATTGAACCCTGGACCTTGCACTTGCAGGGCAGGTGGCAGAACCACTGAGCTAAATCCCCAGCCCCTAGACTAGTGGATTTTAAAAATTGATATGGCTGGTTGCAGTAGCATGTACCCGGTGGTCTCAGCTATTTGGAACACTGAGGCAAGAGAAATGCTTGACCCCAGGAGTTCAAGACCAGCTAGTGCAACATGGCAAAGTACTGTCTCAAAAAAAAAAGTAAAATAATAAATGAAAATGAAATAATAAATGAAAAATAAATGAAGCCAGGCATGGTGGCACACACCCATAATCCCAGAATTTGGGAGGCTGAAGCAGGAGGATTGCCATGAGTTCAAGGCCAGTCTGGGCTACATAGTGAGTTCAAAGCCAGCCGAGGACCAAGGATTTAGCTCAATGGTTCCACCCGCTGCCTGGAAAGCACAAGGTACAAGGTCCTGAGTTCAATCACGGTGCCAAAAAAAGAAAAAAACCAAAGCCAGTCTGAACTACATAGTGAGACCCTGTCTCAGAAAACAAACAAAAAATTGCTGTAATATAGCCAGGCGTGGTGGCGCACGCCTATAATCCCAGCACTCAGGAGGCTGAGGCAGGAGGATCCCTGTAAGTTCGAGACCAGCCTGGGCTACATAGTTCCAGGTCAGTCTCAACTACATAGTGAGACCCTGTCTCAAAAAACAAACAAACAAAAAAAATTGCTGCAAGTATATGGTAATTATAAAAGACTTACTTTAGAACCTAAATAAACAGGTTGAAAAGATAGAAAATAGTAGTGAAAAGAAAGAAGGGGTAGCTATGTTATTAGACAAAATAAACTTTAAATCAAAAAAGTTTACCAGAGGATAGGGGATTTAGCTCAGTGGCACCATACCTGCCTCATAAGTGCAAGGTCCTGAGTTCTATGCCCAGTACTGGAAAAAAAAGCTTAACAGAGATAAAGGACATTATATAGCCCTAAAAGATTCAATACTGTAAGAATATATACCAATGGGCTGGGGATTTAGCTCAGTGGTTCTACCGCCTGCCTCGTAAACACAAGGACCCGAGTTCAATCCCCAGTACCAAAAAAAAAAAAAAAAGAATATATACCAATAACCAGCCAGGTGTGGTGGCATATGCCTGTAATCCCAGCACTTGGGAGGCAGAGGAAGGAGGATTGCTGTGAGAGCAAGGCCAGCCTGGGCTACATAGTGAGTTCAAGGCCAGCCTGAACTATAGTGAGACCCTGTCTAAAAAAAAAACAATTGTGCTGGGGATTTAGCTCAGTGGTTCTGCTGTCTGCCTTGCAAGTGCAGGGACCTGAGTTCGATCCCCAGTACCATAAGTAAATAAATAAAATGGTTAACCTTAAAAAAATAAAATACAAAAAAACAATTGTGTGTGTGTGTGTGTGTACCAACTATAAATGTACACCTAATGATGGACTGTAGACTATATGAAGCAGCTAGATGTGGTGTGTACCTATAATCCCAGCATTCAAAAGGCTAAAGCAGGTGGATTGCCACAAGTTCGAGGCCAGCCTGGACTACACAGTGAGTTCAAGCCCAGCCTAAACTACATAGCGGACTCTCTCTCTCTCTCTCTCTCTCTCTCTCTCAAAAAAGGCAAGTTCTAACAAAATTGGAGAAAGAAATAAACAATTCTCCAATAATATTTAGAGATTATTATCCTCCTTCAGTATGGACGGAACACCAGACAGAAGATAGATGGAGATATAGAGGAATTAACACAATAAACCAACCAGACCTAACAGGCTCATACAGCATTCCTCACAGTGGCAGTACACACTCTTCTCAAGTACAAGTGGCACAATTCCTATGATGGGCACAAATTAAGTCACAGTGTTTTGTTTCATTTTGTTTTTTCAGTGCTGAGATCTAACCGAGGGTCTTGCATGTGCTAAGCATGCTTCCTACCATTGAGCTAGACCTATAGTGGATTTTTTAAAATAGCATATGAAGGGCCAGGGATTTAGCTCAGCGATTTGGTGGCCTGCCTTGCAAACACAAAGACCCAAGTTCAATCCCTGGTACCAAAAAAAAAGCATATGAAGTGTCTTCTCTGACCACCATGAGCTGAAGTTAGAAATCAATAATGGAAGAAAAACTGGAAGACTCAACAACAAAACCGTGGAAATTAAACTACATACTCCTAAACCAACAATGGCTCCAAGAAGAAATCACAAGGGAAATTGGAAAATACTTAGAGACCAATGAAAACAAAACACAGTGTGCCAAAACATATGGGATGGAGCAAAAGCAGTGCTAAGAGGGAAGTCACATAATTAAGGAAGAAATAATGCCTGCTTTCATCTCTTCTACTTAACATGGATCTGATGGTCCCCGCCAAAACAATCAGGCAAGACAAAGAAATAAAAGGCATCTAAATTGGAAAGGAAGACGTAAAATTAGCTCTGTTTGTAGATGATATGATTTTATTCATGGAAAACCCTAAATATGTGCCTGTCCTAGGACAACTACTACAGTAGCACGAGTAAACAGCCAAGGGACCATTCATACCTGCTGGGCCAGGAAAACGACTTTAGAGGTTCATAGTGCTGAGGCTGCCCAGACATCCTAAGGTGAGAGAGAAATCATTGCACCTGGAGTCTCTGTCTGGCAGGAAGGCCATGTGAGCGGTGCATTCCACTCCCCCCACTCACACCCCCATCTGGGGTGCTGCTCCAGCCCACTTGCTGAGAGGCCTGGTCACTTTCCAGGGCTACTGAGGTGTTGGCTGAGGCCTATGGGGCTACTGGGACTTCATAAGAAGGGGAGAAGGGTGCCTGTGGGCCAGGCAAGCCTGGGAAGTTCCAGAGCAAGGCCATATGGTCCATGACAGAGAAGGCTTCTGGTAGGCCACAGGTCCCCTCACAAGCCAGTTTGTGGCTCCATGGACTCCTGGCATCAGCTTTCAGCAGCAGGCCATGGGACAGAGAGGATGGAAAGGGCATAAGGGGCAAAGCCCAAGGCCCAGTGTTGCCCACCTTCTCCCTCAGACACCAACACCTCCAGTGGGAGCGGATGGCAGAGAAAATGGCCTGGGCTTGGCCTTTAGTCAATCTGTATGTTGACATTAACTTCAACTTGACTGTCACCAACTACAGCCCCTTTGCCAGGAGGTCCCAAATGACAGTAGTGAAGGGCAGCCCGGTGGACACTGTTGTTGGCAAGAAGGGTGGCTTGAGAGGGGACTAGTGAAGAGCAGCACTAGACAGTGATTCAGAGCCTGGGGAAAGGTATGGGATGGCCCTGTGGAGGAGGGGCACCCAAGAGGGTTACATGACAAACAGTGGATGTCATAACCATCCTTTGGATGTTGGCCAGTATCCTCCTTTTGAGACCCATCTAAACCAGACACTGTCCCTGTTGAACCCACATTTACCAAGCCATCAGCTCTGGCTAACACTGGCTATTGGCTCAGCAGATAATCAGAAAGCTGTGAAGAGCAGGTTTGCAGGCAGCAACTGGGAGGCAGAAAAAGCAAGCTCCCGGTGGCCTCCTGGAACAGCCCAGAGAGTGACAACAGTCTGTGTGAGGGACTCCAGGAGACCCTTCTACAAGGAAGCCTGAGTCAGAAAGTGGCTCAGAGGACAGAGTGCTCTGCACCCAGCCCCGAACCTGCACCTGGACACGGCAGTTCTACTCAGCATGTTCCACGTGAAGAGGCCCCTGTACTCTGGCTGAAATAGACATCCTCCTGGCTTTTAGGTCCCTTCCTGCCAGCTGCACCTACTGTCCCAGCACCCCAGCACCCTTGCTCCCAAGCAGGGACCCATGTTGCAGCTGCAGGGTGGCCAGCACGGCCAGGACCCCAGGTCCTGCCAAGCAGCTGGCGTATTGTGAAGGCTGGGGGGACACTACCCTGTGAGGCCCACTTCCCAAGACAGCAGGATGGGAACACCTGAGACTTCCTTCCCTTCCCTGACCTCCAAGAGCAGGCCCCACCACTGGATGTTTCACAGGGTCAAGGTACAGATTAGGCAGGCCTTACACAGTAGTGCTGGTCTAGCCTGAGCACATCACTCTGGGGCCAGCTTGGCATGTGCTCCCTACTCTCTCTCCAAGCAGATCTCCAGCACCAGGGCAGCTTCCCCACAACATTCTGTCTGCTAAATGTCTCCGGATCTGCTTTACCATGCATTACCCATAATCCAGCTCAGTCCACCAGGCAGGCACAACTATTATGAAACAACCAGCAGTACTTCACAGACCCTTCTGTGGCCAACCTCGTCCTCCAGGCAAGGATCAGCCTCCTTAGCCCGGACCTGAGGGGAGGGGACAGGTGACAGTGGTACCAGATGGAGGAGGTAGCACCCTCCAGCATGAAGCACACCGCCTCCGGCTGCTCCAGGAACTCGCCACTAAGAAACCAGGTAGGAGGCGGAGGCCAAGGGAGCGCAGCTGGAACTGCAAGGTGAGAAGTGAAACCCGGAAGCCAGAGGAGCAAGAGGGGAAAGAGCCCAGTGAGCCGGGTGGAGCAGGGTGTAGGTTCCTGGGGAGTATGGCCCAAGGAGAAAGGTGTCCAGGAATTCGGTTCAGATCCATTGGTGGGCTTCTGAACACCTAAAGAGGGGGCTCGGCGGCCACTGAATGCGGAGAGGGGCCGCAGAAGGAGATCCGAGCTGAAGGTGCGCCTCGGAAATAGAGCGCAGAGCCGTCTAGAGGCTGGAAAGCAAGCCCCGGACCTGTCCTGGGGCTAGGGGACTCTCCAAGGTAGAGTCCGCTTCCTTTTCTGCCATCCGACAGCGTCCTGCACAGAGCAGAAGGAAGCCGCCTCCACCCCCACCAGGCCAACGGCTGGAGGCGCAGAGGAACAGGGTGTCTCAGACAGGACAGGCTTTGCGCGAAGGTGGGGGGCCGGAGAGGAGCTCACAAGGCGGGGCTTGCCTTGGGCAGGTTCCCAGCTCATACATATGCATTCACACATACGCTTTGTAGGCACCCACTCAAGCATATCATGCGTGCGGAGGCTTAGGGCAGACCCTTTCCCATGGGGACACTCGGCCCTCACCTGCAGGAGCTTCTGGGCGCTCAGAGGTCTCAGGGCCCCTCACCTGCTGGCCAGTCTTCCTCTGCAGCTGGTGGTTCCCTCTGGGCATCCCTGAGGAAAGCTGCAGTCAGTGCGGTTAGTGTGTGAAACACCCCCACCTCAACCTCAGGAGGAATTTATAGGACAACATCTGAGACAGCAGCGGGGGAGCTCCCTTATGCGGCCTCCTCAAGGTGCCCCGGGACAACTTTAATGAGCAGATAGGCAGCATTCTCCAACAGCAAATACCACCCTGCCAGGGTGATTCTGAGGGCCAGGAGGCAGAACTGCCCCTGTATTTGGGACCCAGAGCACAGACCCTGTGAGCCCAGGGGTGGGCATGTTGCCACCCCAGGTAGGAGGACTATACTGGCTTCCCCTCCCCCATTCTGCCCACCTGACCCCACCCAGACCAGTGGACTTTGGTCCTCCTGTCCCTCCTGTCCCTGTCAAGTGCAACATTCCCAGGGCAAGTGCTCTCCATCTGCTCTGAAGGCTTCTGGGCAAGGGGGTGTGTACTGGGCTGGGCTGGGCCAGGCAAACCAGTCCAGCCAGTAAGGGGCCCTGGGCTTGGACATGAGTCAGCAGCCGGAGGCTGGGAAAACGCTGGGGAGGAGGCCTGTTGCAGCCTCACCCTCCCAGCAGGAAGCCAGGGGAACCCCAATGTTGGAGCTGGTCCTGGACCCTCACCCCCATGTGGGCAACTCAAAGGCAGGCCAGATGAGGGCTCCTTAGGCCTTGTTTCAATGGGAAACTTGCTGGATCCCAACCAGAATGTCAGCCAGTCCTCCTACCCTGCACCTAGGAGAAAACTAGACTCTTTCTGCTCATCTCAGTCCTTAACATGCCTGTATGGGCTTTCAAAGGCCCAAAGTCTTCAAAAGCTCACAGCATGACTGGAGACCACTGTGAGGGCCCTCTACGGAGGGCAAACTCAGGGCAAGTTCAGGTACACACTGGTGTGTCTGGCCCTGGGACCAAGGAAGTGCTGGGGACTTCATGGCCATCTAGTGTCTGGGTCCTGAGGTTCAGTGTAGCCAGGATGCAGCTCTTAGCCAGGTGGCCACAGTTTGAATTTCCCGCGACCAGGGGTGTGGCCAGGGAAGGGGGTGGGGGGGCCTCAGTACCGCCTAGGCAGGACCAGGCATGTTGTCCTGCATCTCGGTCTAGTAACTGAGAGCCGCCTCCAGTTTCCCTGTCTCCCTCCCAGTCTGGCCAGCAAGGCCTGTGGCCTGTAAAGTCCTGTGCCCTGTGTCAGCAGGTTAGTCAGCCTTTTGGGTCTGGCTGAGCTGCCACGCCGCCAAGTCCCTATAAACTTCCCATCTCGACCTGGCCCAGCGGAGTGGGGCCCTGAAAGGCCCACAGGCCAGAGCCGAAGTGCTGCTGCGCAGCTGAGGGGCAGGGTGGGCTCCTGGGACACAGGAGCAGAGGGCCAGAGTAGTGGGGAGAGGGCAGCGCACTATAGTCTCTTGGATGCTGTCTGAGCCACCTGACTGAGGTGCCAGTTGATGAACCTGGCCCTGGGCAACAGACATCTGGTGAAAGAAGTGCCGGAGCCAGGGCCATGTCTGGGAAACGTCGAGCTCGGAAACCTCGAGGGAGGAGGGCGGGCCGGGCCCATCGGGAAGTGGGGCAACAGGGCCCAGAGGCCAAGCCCCCGCCCCCTTCCACAGGGGGCCCATGGGACCAGGTGGGGGTGGCCCCTATAGGGCACGTGACCAGCACCCAGCCGGCTGCCCAGGGACACCCCAGGACAGCCGGAACAGAGCAGCCAGTGCAGGCCACTGCTTCGGGGTCTGAGCTGGTGCTGGCCCTCCCCCAGCACATGGAGGGCTGTGGAGCCACAGGCCCGGCACTGGCCCTGGGCCCTGAACTTCTGAGGCTCCATGAAGTCCAGCTGTGCCTGGCCCAAGAGCAGCTGCTGCTGGAGGACCGAAGGAGGCATGTCCAGCTGCAGATGCAGCTATGGCAGGAGGAGCAGATGTGGTTGCAGCAACTACAGGAGGAGCAGCTGTGGCTGCAGCAGCTACAGGAGGAACAGGCTTGGGTGCACATGGAGGGACTACAGCTGGCCATGGCCCTGGAGCAGCTCCGGAGTGAGGGCCTTGAGACACTGCAGACCCAAGGCCAGGTAAGGCCTGGGAGAGAATGGGAGGGGCCCAGACAGTCTGTTGGCAAGGTGGCCACTTGAGCATCTTACAGATGCCAAGCTGCTTTAGCTGCTTTGGCAGATGTTCACATTTGCCAATGGGTGCTTAGTGCCTGTTGCACAAGGCACTCCTAAGACCAAGAACAGCTGGCCCAACCAAGCCAGATTGTTGGAGAGAGGTCACCCAGGGAGGGCTGTTTGGGGACAGATGTATCCCAACAGAGGACCCTGGCAACCTAGGCCCAGGGGCTAGGACAGGCAGCCACTGTGCTGGCTGAGGCATGAGGGGAGGGCCTCGGTGTACACAGTGGTACCAGGAGAACTGAGGGACATCCCCCTAGTTCCTGGCCAGCTTCTTGTCTACCACCCTGCCCCCTGTTTACAGCAATTCAAGACCAGGCTTGAGATCATGGAGGCAGCACGCGGTGCCTGTGCCTATTATCCTACTTCCCGGAGGAGTGTCAGCCTCAGACGCCGCTGGGGCTATTTTGGGCAACCAGGATCTAATCCTGGCTTGATGTGGAAGAGTCACCACTACCCTACCAGCTTCTGGAAACCTAGGAACTTTCTGGGGTCCAAGAGCTTGGGCAAGACCCACTCCAAGCTCAGAGGGTGCATTTAAGACTGGGTAGGTAGGGTGTTCTCTCAGCAAGAACAGACCCCAGGTAGACTAGACAGTATGCAAAGGGCCAGAGATCCAGCCTGGAAGGAGTTTGCAGCTATGACAAAAAACAAATGGGACTCAGAGGATGGAAGGGATAACTGCTGAAAGTGGGTGGACATGGGGAGGTCCCCTTCCTGACTGACCTTTAGCAGGACCCAGTCTAGGTGAGCTGTCACCATTCAATCTGGAAGTGGCTATGAGCAGGGAAATGGAATAGAGTAGACCACATACAGTAGTTACCTGAGATTTCCCAATTTGGAATCAAGCCCTGCTCTTTTTCAAAATCTCTTTTAGCCAGCAAAGCTCCTTCCACTGGCTCCTGTCCCTCCTCCCACCTTCATGGCTCTAAAGCTATGTTAATCGGAGCACTGTGCCCAGCCCCAGAGCCACAAGACACAGGGCCAGGGGTTGCAGCAGATATCTGAGTTCTGAACCCTCAGTCTGTCACACCCAGGCAAACAAATCTGAAGAACACTCTTGGGGGTATGGCCATTCCCAGATGGAAGGTCCAGGTGGCTGCAGAGGGTCTCACAGGTCAGTGTTTGGGTGGTGGTGTTCTGGAGATCAAGGGTTCACTCACCAGCAGCAGCTCTTGGTTTGGATCCAGAGTGGGACATCTGCCACTTCCCTGATGCAGTTCTGGTTCCCCACATCTTGGTGTTCATTCTCCTGGAAGAAGGCAGGGGCAATAGGGAAGAGCACTACACACCACCAGGAGCCTGGGTAGGCAGTAGGAATTCAGACACCCCTCCCCCCATACACTTCCCAGCCAGCTGCCTGCTCCCAGCAACTTCAGGAGGGGATGCATGACAAGACCATGTCCCTTCACCTTTACATGGCGGCCCTCTCCACAGCTTGTGTAGCTTGTGCTTTGGGGTCCCAGGGACTAATGTTTCGTACCTACATCTCTGCTCAAACCACCAGGCCACCAGCTGGATGACTAGGTTCTGATGTACTTATAGTCGTGCCTACATCTCTGCTCAAACCACCAGGCCACCAGCTGGATGACTAGGTTCTGATGTTCTGAGCTGAACCATGCTGTGCAGCCTTGGTACCTCACAGGATGCTCAGGAGCCTGGCCACTCTCTACCCACAGACCCTCTTATCCTGGCCTTCATGGGTGCTGTGATCAGATACTGAAAGCAACACCCTTCTCCCTAGTCCACCAGGCTCACCCAAAAGTTCACCTCCCCTAGGAGGCCTCCCCTACCTACTCCGGGTAGGGTAAGGGTTCTCGCTGTTGCCCCAGAGCTCCTCACCTCCTCCACTGCACAGGAAGCCAGTGCTATGTGATTGCCTCAGAGCTGGACTGACCCACACCTGTGCGATGTTGCTGAGTGGACAGCAATTTAATGAAATGGGGAGGGACCATGAAAATAGAACAAAAAATGGTTGAGAAGGGACAAGGAGCAGGAGGCAACTGAAGGCTGGCTGGTAGAAAGACTCAGGCAGGATGGCAGAGAATGGACACTTGGGGTGGGAGTGGCAGGCAAGAGGAGTTGACTTGGGATGGCTGAGCACAGAGCAGGGGCTAATGAGAAGGGGTTGTCAATGGGGGTCTGAGGGAGAACTGGGCAGACTGGGACAACTAGAGCTTGCATGTGCAAACTAGGTGTGCCGGCTGATATGTGAGTGAGGTCCTTGTCTGTGTGGGGGGTTGGAACTTGCAGGGTCTGGGTGTGCAATGGACTCTTGATATACACGTGGGGTTACAGCATATGAAGGAAAGTCCCCGGTGCTTTCAGAGTGCATGATCATGTAGGTAGGGTCAGTGGGCATGAAGTCCCCTCTATGTGTGAGGTCTTCTATTTGTGTGGACGGATGAGGCATGGTGAGTGGTCACGCCGGATAGTGGCATCTGTTGGACTTGGTTTGCTTGTAGGATTCAGTGTGAATGGGTGTCTCCTGTGCTTGTGGGGTTAGGGTACATGGGGGTAAATCAATTCAGGCTCCCTTGGGTGCATGGTCCCCTGTATGATTGGGTATGCCGGTAAAGGAGGGTCTGTGGGGGCTCCCCGGTGGACTTATGGGGTACCAAATAAGTGGAGGGGATGAGTGGGGTAATTGGTGCAAGGCTAGGTTGTGAGGCGTGTCCTTGTGTGGTGGGGGGTGCCCCATTTGAGATGGATCCCAGGCCCAGCCCCTCCCTGGGTTTGGCACCGCCCCCGCAGCCTCACCTGCTGGTGCCAACTCGCCCAGAAGAGAAGCCCCGCCCAGCCCCCCCTCAGACCAGCCGGTAGCCCAGGGATCCAGCCGGAACTTCGTATTCACCTGGACTTCCGGGGCGAGGGTCAGGGGTCAGGCTTAGGGGCTTGGAACCTTTAGTTCACAGGTGGGGGTTAGGAGGCTGGGGGTCCTTTAAGTAGGGTCTTGGAGGTCTCAGGTGGCACAGGCCAGGGTCCCAGGCGCGGGTTTGGGGCACCGGTGAGGCGGGGCTCGGCCAGGGGT